TACTCTGACACTGAAAAAAAAATCTTTCTAACGTCTCTGTGGCTCATCTGGGTACTAAGTTTCCACCTGTGTCCCCTTGTTCATGTCCCACCCGTGCTGAAGAGTTTGTCTTTGTCCACCCTGTCAATTCCCCTGAGAATTTTGTAGGTGGTTATCATGTCTCCCCTTACTCTTCTGTTTTCCAGGGATCATGAGGTGCATTTCCCGCAGCCTTTCCTCGTAACTCATGCCTCTTAGTTCTGGGACTAGTCTAGTGGCATACCTCTAAATCTTTTCTAACTTCGTCTTGTGCTAGACAAGGTACGGGCTCCATGCTGGGGCCGCATACTCCAGGATTGGTCTTACATATGTGGTGTACAAGATTCCGAATGATTCCGTACACAGGTTCCTGAACAGACGCTGTTCTGATGTTAGCCAGCCTCGCATATGCCGCAGACGTTATTATTTTCTTTTGATGTGGGCTTCAAAAGACAGCTTTGGTGTGATATCAACTCCTAGATCCTTCTCTCTATTTGATTCTTGCAGGATTCCCCTCCCAGATGATACCTTGTGTTCAGCCTCCTGCTCCCTTCGCCTAATTTCATCACCTTACACTTTCCAGAGTTGAACTTCAGCAGCCATTTTCTAGACCACTCCTCCAGTTTATCCAGGTCATCCTGTAGTCTCTGTCTATCTTCATCCGTCTTGATTCTTCTCATAATTTTTGCATCATCAGCAAACATTGAGAGGAATGAGTCTATACCCTCTGGAAGATCGTTCACATATATTAGAAACAGGATGGGTCCAAGTACTGAGCCCTGTGGGACTCCGCTGGTGACATCTCGCCACTCTGATGTCTCCCCCTCACCGTTACTCGCTGTTTCCTGTTGCTTAAGTACTCCCTTATCCACTGGAGCACCTTCCCTTTTACTCCTGCCTGTTGCTCCAACTTTTTTAACTGTGTGTGTGTGTGTTGGGGATGGTGTACATGTAACCCCACCCATCTCCACACCACAACAATCCAACCCTGCTCGAATTCCCCCCCCCCCACCCCGCCGGCTGGGGAGAGACCCCTGCAGAGTAAGCAAGAATAGCAGTATAAGCAAACAGCAGATACAGCAGCAGCAGCAGTAGATGAAGCAGGGGTTGTAGCAGTCGTAGTGGCAGCAGGAGCAGAAGTAGCAGCAAAGAAAGGGACTATCAGGAGAAAGCGCCAAGCCATTAGAGTATAAAGCACTGGGAGGGGGGTCAGGATAAGGATTTGGGATGGGACGGCGGGAAGGAATGGTGCCCAACCACTTGTGAACGATCGGGGATCGAACGCCGACCTGCATGACGGGAGACCGTCGCTCTACCGTCCAGCCCAAGTGTGGACGGTAGAGCTACAAACAACGAACAGTTCTGGCCAGGATCCCAATACACAACAACCTTGGTGTTTGAGGGAACCGTAGATTTAATAGGCAACTTTTTTCCCTTTTATTTCATGTTAAATAATTTGCTCCATTATGTGGGGTAAAGACAGAACCGGTTTCGTGTGGGGTAAACAGAACCGGTTTCGTGTGGGGTAAACAGAACCGGTTTCGTGTGGGGTAAACAGAACCGGTTTCGTGTGGGGTAAACAGAACCGGTTTCGTGTGGGATAAACAGAACCGGTTTCGTGTGGGATAAACAGAACCGGTTTCGTGTGGGATAAACAGAACCGGTTTCGTGTGGGGTAAACAGAACCGGTTTTCAGAAGTACCGGGTGAGTCTCAGCTCATTTCTCTACCGACTTTGACATACAAACACAACAAAAGACGAATTGTAGTGTTCACAAAAACACGAATTTGTTGACGGAGAAAAACAAAAGACGACTACTTGACTAAAACGTGTTCCCTTTGTTAAATTCCATTTTAAGATGGTGTTGAACTGAAGACCTCTAAACACCTGTGGAGGGTTATTACAACACAAGTGCTTAACTACCCAACCAGCAGGCATAATGTCTTGGACACTATCCAGGGCTAAATGTAAACTCTAGTGTATTTCCATCAGGGTTCACCTCTCAGTTTACTTAGCCCACGTTTATGTATAAGTCTGGTGTTGGCCTTAACAGTATGCAATTTCTGGAAGTTTAATAAGGGGGGTACCACAACTGCTTACTGACGGGCTCGCCATAGCCCGTGCTACATGGGCATTTCGTTATGAGTAGCTAAATCTAAAACAATAACAATGCTTACTGATCATCCAGCAGGAAGAATGTATGAATGTAGTGCAGAAGTTTGTGTATACACAGACCCCCTAGGTTTATACACTAGGTGTATGAATTATCGCTTGTCAACTATTATTATTTTTTTTTTTTTTTGAGATATATACAAGAGTTGTTACATTCTTGTACAGCCACTAGTACGCGTAGCGTTTCGGGCAAGTCCTTAATCCTATGGTCCCTGGAATACGATCCCCTGCCGCGAAGAATCGTTTTTTCATCCAAGTACACATTTTACTGTTGCGTTAAACAGAGGCTACAGTTAAGGAATTGCGCCCAGTAAATCCTCCCCAATATTCACCGAGTGAAAACTCCCTGGCATAGAAGCCACTCGGGAACGACTCTGTAACGCTAATAATCGTGCCGGAAGCGGCCCCCTGATACATGAGCCAATTACCGCAAGAAATAAATTTGTTTAAGCGGTAAAAGTGTTTGGTCGGAGGGGAAGTAGAGGGCGCGCAGGGCGGGGGAGACCCCGCTCTAGCACGCCCAGGTGCAAACGATCCCACCCACTCCTGCCCGCCGCCGCCCACCCACCCACTCCTGCCCGCCGCCGCCACCCACTCCTGCCCGCCGCCGCCGCCCACCCACCCACTCCTGCCCGCCGCCGCCGCCGCCCACCCACCCACTCCTGCCCGCCGCCGCCCACCCACCCACTCCTGCCCGCCGCCGCCACCCACTCCTGCCCGCCGCCGCCGCCCACCCACCCACTCCTGCCCGCCGCCGCCGCCGCCCACCCACCCACTCCTGCCCGCCGCCGCCGCCGCCCACCCCACCACTCCTGCCCGCCGCCGCCGCCGCCCACCCACCCACTCCTGCCCGCCGCCGCCGCCGCCCACCCACCCCCTGGAGCCCGCCGCCGCCGCCGCCCACCCACCCCCTGGAGCCCTATAGCCTCTATCCACTAACACTGCTCGGTGGGTGTGAGTGAACCCCTCAAGGGAACCCCTTCACTGGTTATAGACAACATTTACAACCACTTTCCCTCCATCCAACAATCATTTCCACAATGCGGTCTTTACAGTTGTTCGCCACCTCCAAAGAACGGCCCTCGATTGATTGATTGATAAAGATTAAGCCACCCAAGAGGTGGCACGGGCATGAATAGCCCGTAAGAAGGAACGGCCCTCGTAGAGTCAGTTTCTTTTTTACTAACAGCGCCACACCACCTTTCTCAATGACGTTTCGGTCCGTCCTGGACCATTCTCAAGTCCCCCTGGACTTGAGAATGGTCCAGGACGGACCGATACGTCGTCGTCCCTTCACCTTCTAGTGTGTGGTCTGGTCAACATAATTTAGCCACGTTATTGTGACTCATCGCCTGCACCTCTCTCAAGCTTGTCACTTCTCATTATCTGGTAATTCCCCTTGGGATTATTGCATTGTTAAACATCCCAGTTAGTTTGATCTCCACTAATGTTATAACATCAGGATTTATTTCCTTAATTCTTTCTTTGAGTTCACTTCCTTTATTTGTCAGACCATCAGCATGTATAATAGATCTTCAGTGTCTTCACTATTGTCCTCTTCTCTGAGCTGTTTGCTTCCAGTCTAGGTATGTAATTTAGGTTAGGTTCGGGTGAACTGTAAGGGAGGGGAACGGATTTGGGATATGGAAGAGAGGAAAGGGTGGATGTTGGTGGGGCACTGGGCTGGAGTATGGGTGTGATGCAGTAGGATTTGTGAGGCTTGGGGGGTTGAGTGGGGGTTGAGTGCTGGTTGATGATCAGTGGGTGGCAACTGGTTGTCGGTGGGTTGCGTGATCGATGGCAGAGGGGAATTGGTGCTCCTGGGATGGGAGGAATATGGAGTTCTGGCAGATTTGGTCTGGGGAAGGAACTGGAGGTGTTCTGGTATTTTTCCTTTGTCAAGCCCTGGGGAAAATTCCTTCTACCTGAGGTTCTGGCTGTCTATTCATAATGCGGCCATTGTTCTTGCACTGTATTGCTTCTATGTGGCTGTGTTGCTCTTGTGTTTTCTTGTCGGAGATGTGGTGTTTTCTGTCTTTTATCTCGCTCTCTTCTCCCCCTTCTTTCATTCCTTTTCTCTGCCCTGTCCCTTCTTTGTTCTATCTTTACTTTTATTTACTACTTGATCATGTCGTTTTCTAAGTAGACCCTCTCATATCCCATTATTGTTCTGAAACCACTTTTTTTATTCATTAGTAATCTTGGAGCTGCTTCATTTGTAAATATTAGCTTCAGTGGTCTAGTTTTCCTGTTTTCGCATCATACAGTATATGACCCCAGCCTGAGCACTTGTACCAAATCTCTTTCAGCCTCACGAAGGCGTAGTTCTTTCAAGAAATCCCCGACAGATTCTCTCCAACTGTGTATTCACCTAGTTGTGCTTGCGAGGGTTGAGCTCTGCTCTTTCGGCCCGCCTCTCAACTGTCAATCAACTGTTACTAACTACTAACTAGCTAAACAAAATTTCCCCACCCACCCATCCCCCAGGAAGCATCCCATAACAACTGTCTTAACCTCCAGATACCTATTTACTGCTAGGTAACAGGGGGCATCAGGGTGAAAGAAACTCTGCCCAATCCGGGAATCGAACCCGGGCCCCAGGATTTAGAGTCCCGTCCACTCAGCTACCAGACCCCCCAAACGTGTGGGACTGTGTGTATGTATTACTCACCTAGATGTACTTACAGGGTCAAGGACCTGGTACTATAGCCTTACCAGAAGTAAAAAAAAAAAAAAATCTGGCCTTAACACAATTAGTCGTATTCGCAAGGACTTGACAAGAGCATCTTGTTTGACATCAAGGTACTCACCTGGGACAAGCCGAGATGCACTGAAGCAGTCTCCGATATGTACATAATCTTCCCATCTGGAGCCACCACGAAGATGAAACCGTCTAGCGTCTGCGAAAAATAAGAAATAAAACATACATTCAGGTATATTTTTATTCGAGCTGGTCTTAGATGTCTATAGAGGGGCACAAGAACACCGTGTCTGTGTTCGGTGCTGTGTTCTGTAGTGTTCAAAGATTGGTGTGTCTTAGCTAGTGTGCTTGTCGGGCGTAAGACATGATACCTGTATAATGACTCAACTGTCTAGACATTTTCTTATGTGTGGTTTGTTGGTTGATAGTATTCCTCTTCTCTCTCTCTCTCTCTCTCTCTCTCTCTCTCTCTCTCTCTCTCTCTCTCTCTCATATATCCCTCTTCTCTCTCTCATATTCCCTCTTCTCTCTCTCATATTCCCTCTTCTCTCTCTCATATTCCCTCTTCTCTCTTTCATATTCCCTCTTCTCTCTCTCATATTCCCTCTTCTCTCTCTCATATTCCCTCTTCTCTCTCTCATATTCCCTCTTCTCTCTCTCATATTCCCTCTTCTCTCTCTCATATTCCCTCTTCTCTCTCTCATATCCCCTCTTCTCTCTCTCATATTTTCTTTCATTTCCCCTCATATTTCCTCCCTTCTTCATTTTTCTCTTTGCCCTTTTCCTATTCTCATGTCTTCTTCCACAAATCCTCTCGGTTCATTTGCATTCCTCCCTTCATTATTTGCTGACGTTTCTTTCTCTCTTTCAATGTTCCCTTTCTGTATTCTCTCCCACTCGGACCCCTCTCTACTCTTCCATCTCACCCGTCCCCTTTCCTACCTTCTATGTCTCTCTCTGTCTTTGTCCTATCCTCCCTTACTCTATATTTACTTTAATTTAAAAATATCTCTTTCCCCTCACTCTCTCCTTCCCTCACCCCTTTTCTTCCCTCACACCCCCCCCCTCATCCTCCACGTCCACTCCATCTCCTCATTCCTCGTTTCTTGTGATCGGCTAATTAGGCAAAATATTCTTAGTGGGTCCACTTAAGCACGCACCAGAAACCGAGGGGAGGGAGTGAGGGAAGGGTGAGGGTATAGTGAGGGAAGAGTGAGAGGAAAGTGAGGTGAAAATGAAGGAAGAGAGAGGGGGGGAAAGTGAAGAGAAAGGCGAATGAGGAGACAGAGAGTTGGGACGAGAATGGTGAGGAGAAACAGGTGAGGGGTGAGTGAGGAACGATGCGTTGGGAATAGTGTGTTGTGAGGAAAGATGAAGGAAATGTGAGGGAGGAATAAGGGGCTGCAAAGAGGAGAATGAGGGGAGACATAAGGGTCAGGGGGAGACAGGGATATACAGTGATCTAGGGACTAGGGAACAAGAGGCCAAAACCGAGGGAAGAACAGTAGACAAGAAAAAGATGCCAAGCAAAGAGCGGAAAGTGGAAATAGTACAAAGAGTCAGAGAGAGAGAAGAGAGAGAGAGAGAGAGAGAGAGAGATAGAGAGAGATAGAGAGAGCGAGAGAGAGAGAGAGAGAGAGACAGAGATAGAGGAGAGACTGGCAGACGAGAGAGAGAGAGAGAGAGAGAGAGGAGGAGAGAGAGAGAGGAGAGGAGAGAGAGAAGGTAGAGAGAGAGAGAGAGAGAGAGAGGAGAGACAGACAGAGAGGAGAGAGAGAGAGAGAGAATCACAGTGCCGCCACCAGCAACTCTACACATGACAACATCAACCTTAAAGAATTCTATTTAAGGTTCTTAAAAGTGATATTTTTTTATCTTATTTCCACTATTCTTGTTATAGAAGTAACTATAACTCAATTCTTGCTAAAAAAAAAAAATATATAATTTTAGCGATATTATAATGGTATACCTCTAAATATGTTATGCTGTTATCACTGTTAAGTTGGATTAATTAAGTAAAAACGAATTATTTATTGTAAAACGAACTATTTATTGTAAATTTAATAATTTACTCAAAACGTAAATATTATAAAGCTAATAAACTTGACAAATAAATACACTACTTTCATAAATAGAAATTACTTAGTATAAACCAACAGTAGTACGTCATTTAATGTTATAATTAAGGTTTATCAACCTCTGAAGCATGATATATGAATCAATAGCAACTAAATACTATCTAGCATACTTTAACACCAAATGTAAACTTGTTATACAAAGTAGTGTATACTCACGGAGGCGTGGAGAACAGTTCTCACTGTATGTATCCATACATATATATGTATATATATGTATATGTATATATACATATGTATGTATATATATATATAAACAGCCAGTAGGCCTGAATTATAGTATATATTTCAGGTTCATTATAATTAATCAAACTTTTTTTCATAAATTATTTAAAAAAATTTAGAAATGATTTAAGGCTGTTTAGAAATTATTTACAGATTTTAGAAATTATTTAAAGTTTACAGAAATATATATAGTAATATTCAGGTTCATTATAATAATCAAACTTTTTTTCATAAATTATTTAAAAAAAAATTAGAAATGATTTTAGGCTGTTTAGAAATTATTTACAGATTTTAGAAATTATTTAAAGTTTACAGAATATAATTAAGTTTTAAGGCAGATTTGTTCCAAATTCAAAGTAAATAAATTTTGGGACGCAGTCGAGGACACTAACAGTGAGGTATACCACATTTCTCAGTGTATATATAAGTATACTTGTTGAATGGTATGTTATTGTGGTAGTATTAATAACCCTCGGTTAATAATGACTGTCTTACCTGTAGCAAGTATGAGCCCAGTTCCTTAATGACTGTCTTACCTGTAAAAGGTGTGAGCCCAGTTCCTTAATGACTGTCTTACCTGTAAAAGGTGTGAGCCCAGTTCCTTAATGACTGTCTTACCTGTAAAAGGTGTGAGCCCTGTTCCTTAATGACTGTCTTACCTGTAAAAGGTGTGAGCCCAGTTCCTTAATGACTGTCTTGCCTGTAAAAGGTGTGAGCCCAGTTCCTTAATGACTGTCTTACCTGTAAAAGGTGTGAGCCCTGTTCCTTAATGACTGTCTTACCTGTAAAAGGTGTGAGCCCAGTTCCTTAATGACTGTCTACCTACCTGTAAAAAGGTGTGAGCCCAGTTCCTTAATGACTGTCTTACCTGTAAAAGGTGTGAGCCCAGTTCCTTAATGACTGTCTTACCTGTAAAAGGTGTGAGCCCAGTTCCTTAATGGCCGCTTCGCGAGGATTAGTCTGCGGGGGCGCCGCTCCCCACGCGTCTCCAAGACCTGTACCGGAAGGAAGACAAGACACTAGAGTACTCTACAGGAAGAACCCCCCCCCCCCTCCCCTCCAAGACCCAGTGCATAGTTTGTAGATTAATATAAACTCTCAAAGGTAATTTCAGTTACCAAATTTAGGTTTGGGGTCATTATTTAGGACTTATTAAATAACTTAACGAAAAATACTTATAAATATAGTATAAAAATAACATAGAAACATATAAACGTAATATAAGTAGAATATAAAAACAGAAACTTTATGTAAACAATAACAGCCCCACTCCTGTGCCAGGTAAGTCCACTACTAACTCCCCTTAATCCGCGTGACTGAACTTTTTGTTCTGAGATAGCTGAACTTAGACTATTTAATTAGAATATGACATTAACGTGATATAACGAATAAACGTGATAACGAAAAATACTGAGGCGCGCAGCGTCCCATATCGTGAGAGGGGAAGTAAGTTGTGACCATTACCGGGTGTGTTGACAGGGTGAATCATGCCGTGTTTGGATAGTTTTAAGTCATTGTGAAACACTAGCCCCATAATCCCGGCATGACACCCGGCCATGTTGGCGTTGGGGAGGGAGGACTGTCGTCGGAACAGTCGCTGGACTCCATGTGTCTGTTCCCTGACGCTCCGTATATATGGGGTCCAAGGTACCTCTAGCGTGTGTATGTTTTCCAAGGTGCCTCTAGCGTGTGTATGTTTTCCAAGGTGCCTCTAGCGTGTGTATGTTTTCCAAGGTGCCTCTAGCGTGTGTATGTTTTCCAAGGTGCCTCTAGCGTGTGTATGTTTTCCAAGGTGCCTCTAGCGTGTGTATGTTTTCCAAGGTGCCTCTAACGTGTATATGTCCCAAGGTGCCTCTAGCGTGTATATGTTCCAAGGTGCCTCTAGCGTGTATATGTTCCAAGGTGCCTCTCTATCATGTATATGTCCCAAGGTGCCTCTAGCATGTATATGTTCCAAGGTGCCTCTAACGTGTATATGTCCCAAGGTGCCTCTAGCGTGTATATGTTCCAAGGTGCCTCTCTAGCATGTATATGTCCCAAGGTGCCTCTAACGTGTATATGTCCCAAGGTGCCTCTAGCGTGTATATGTTCCAAGGTGCCTCTAGCGTGTATATGTTCCAAGGTGCCTCTCTAGCATGTATATGTTCCAAGGTGCCTCTAGCGTGTATATGTTCCAAGGTGCCTCTAGCGTGTATATGTTCCAAGGTGCCTCTCTAGCATGTATATGTTCCAAGGTGCCTCTAGCGTGTATATGTTCCAAGGTGCCTCTCTAGCATGTATATGTTCCAAGGTGCCTCTAGCATGTATATGTCCCAAGGTGCCTCTAACGTGTATATGTTCCTAGGTGCCTCTAGCATGTATATGTCCCAAGGTGCCTCTAGCGTGTATATGTCCCAAGGTGCCTCTCTAGCATGTATATGTTCCAAGGTGCCTCTAGCGTGTATATGTTCCAAGGTGCCTCTAGCGTGTATATGTTCCAAGGTGCCTCTAGCGTGTATATGTTCCAAGGTGCCTCTAGCATGTATATGTCCCAAGGTGCCTCTCTAGCATGTATATGTCCCAAGGTGCCTCTAGCGTGTATATGTCCCAAGGTGCCTCTCTAGCATGTATATGTCCCAAGGTGCCTCTAGCGTGTATATGTTCCAAGGTGCCTCTAGCATGTATATGTTCCAAGGTGCCTCTAGCGTGTATATGTCACAAGGTGCCTCTAGCATGTATATGTTCCAAGGTGCCTCTAGCATGTATATGTTCCAAGGTGCCTCTAGCATGTATATGTTCCAAGGTGCCTCTAGCATGTATATGTTCCAAGGTGCCTCTAGCGTGTATATGTCCCAAGGTGCCTCTAGCATGTATATGTTCCAAGGTGCATCTAGCATGTATATGTCCCAAGGTGCCTCTAGCGTGTATATGTTCCAAGGTGCCTCTAGCGTGTATATGTCCCAAGGTGCCTCTAGCATGTATATGTTCCAAGGTGCCTCTAGCATGTATATGTTCCAAGGTGCCTCTAGCGTGTATATGTTCCAAGGTGCATCTAGCATGTATATGTCCCAAGGTGCCTCTAGCACCCTCTTTTAGTATCCATGGTGAGATAATGCTGACAAATGTAAGATTTTGAGGTTAGATAATGATGGTAGAGTTACACCATACGAGCTAGATGGTGTTGAGATTGCGAAAGGGATTTGAGCGAGTTATGATTTAGTAAGAATTTAAAACCAAAAAAATCAATGCATAAATGTTCGTAATAAGGCAAATAGGACACTGGGATTTATTTCTCGAAGTGTTAGTAACAAAAACATATGGTGTTATTCTTCAGCTATATCTTGCTCTGGTTACGCCCCATTTAGTTATGCAGTTCAGTTTTGGTCGCCGTACTATAGAATTGATATAAATTCACTAGGACGCATCTAGCGTAGAATGACAAAGTTAATCCCGCAAACCTGTCACATGAAGAAAGATTAATAAAGCTTAATTTACATTCTCTAGAAAGGCGAAGAATTTGGGGTGACATGATAGAGGTGTACATGGGATAAATGTTCACAACAAAGGGGATATTAATAGAGTTTTAAAGGTATCAGATATAGAACACGAAAGATTGGATAAGTTTAAATTTAGGAAAGACCTGGGTAAATACTGGTTCGGTAACAGGGTTGTTGATTTGTGGAACCAATTACCGCGTAACATAATAGAAGTATGATCCCTTGATTGTTTCAAGCGTAGGTTAGACATACATATATATATATATATATATATATATATATATATATATATATATATATATATATATATATATATATATATATAATGGGTGTGTGAATGAATTTGGGTGGATATAAATAGGAGCTGCCTCGTATCGGCCAATAGGCTATCTGCAGTTACCTTGATTCTTATGTTCGTATATTTTGTCAGGGCCCAACAGCCTTTGTCACATTCAGCTCCAACAGATTTCTTTTGACTTCATCATTATTACTTTTAATATCATTTTCACTGTATTTCTGAGATGAAATGAATATTTTATGTCAATCCCTTTAAATACAAATAAAATTAAAAACATAGTTATACTTGTAGGAACTAACACAATTTAGTTGACCAGACCACACACTAGAAATTGAAGGGACGACGACGTTTCGGTCCGTCCTGGACCATTCTCAAGTCGATTGTGATGAGGAGGTTTAACACAATTTAGTGTTAACATAGTGTGACAATAATCTCCTTCAAGAGATTGAGCCTGCTCTTCCCTCCACAAACACGTCGTTGAAATTATATAAAACGACTATGGAAGACATGTCCAACAACAACAACAACACCAGCAAGGCTTGCCAGGGTGAGCAAAACATATGCAGCCAGCCACCTGTTCGGACTCAAAACCACCAAACTACATGTTGATCGCTACCGGCTCCGCTGATTGGTCGCCGGTCTGGCTGCACCTGCACTCGCCCCCCCATACTACTTGATGTCTGGGGTCGCCCCAACCTCCTACCTCAGAATGTTCAGTGCTCTCGGTTGTTACCACTCCTCCCGGCTAGACGCTAGCGTGTACTGAGGGAAGTGGTAGCTTAAGCCAATATTCCAGCAGCACCCATTTACTTGTATATTGCACTTCTTGTTATTTTGTCTTAACGTAACTTTTCATTGTGTCATTTAAGTATTCTTATTATTTTGATTGATTTTATTATAAGAATTTGTTTGTGCATTTTATTCATGTTTTGATTTAATTAACGTAATTAAAATTTCATTGTTAAAGTTTACTTGTGTTTTGTGTGGTCTTCTCCTTACCTTACCACAGACGAAGTTCCAGTTTTTTCTATTTTTTTTATAACTATGTGACGAGGCCATACCCCTAGCCTTAAACAGCCGAACACCAACGCGTTACCGTCACAAGTTATATGGGGGCCTGTCCTAGGAGCTTCATTCAGGTACTGGTGCCAAGTGGTAATTTATGGTAAGCGTATTTAACTTTGTTAACGTAGCTTTACTATTTTTCATATTCAATTTCATTTTTATAAGGTGCGGTGTATTGTGCATTACGAGAGTAACATATAGTGAAGGTGAGACAACTTTGGATTACGTGGTGACTGTAGGCCTCAGTCATACTCTTAATTGGTCATCTCTCCCTCCTTGTTATTACTCGTATTTACCATCTATGTCCCTTGAATATTTCTCATTCTGACAGATCATCATATTGGTACCCTGGTACTGTGGTCTGCCCCGGGCCGAGAGTACCCAATCTTCTGCAATCTGACTGTAGGAGGACAAAGAGGGCCATAGTTCCTCTAGCTCGTTTTTGAATTTGCTGAATTGGGACCTCAGCAGCAGTTCTCGTCACAAGTTGACACCTCGCACCCCTACACGTCAGTCAGAGATGATGATACATACAACGGTAGGGAATTAGCTTATTTTTTCAGAGCACAAAAGTTCGCTAATTCTGTAAGTATCATATTAAATTCAGTAGGAAAAACTTGCTTTATGTCCTATAGAGACTTGGCAAGGTATGCCTACATCCTTGGACTACCAATTTTACTTTTGAAGCATTTAACTGTTTCATTTGTTTTCGAAACTTTGTTTCATTTGTTAGTAGGATTTTCTTGCCCTTATTCTCTTACATGAGTACCGGGTACAAGATTTCCTGCGCCCTTGATTTAATTTAATCATTTAATATCTTTCACTTAACGTTAATTGTTAAAGATCACACAGGATAGGTACCAGTTGCCACGTTGTCCTGTTTCTGACATTTCACTATTGAATATTCGTGTACCTTTATTTGCTAATTTCACCATGTTTCGTCTCCAAACTTTCCGTGCAAATCCAGCAGGTGAAATAGGGACTTTAAGTCGTGCCAAGAGGACTGAATTACAAACTCTTGCACATGAGTATCAACTAGAAGTTCCCTACCAAGCCAACAAAAATGACCTACACAACCTGTTGCTGGATTACTATTTAGAGCAAGGTAAGATAGACTCTGAAACTCATGAAACTTACTATATTGCAGAGAAAACTGACTTGGCAACGATGAAACTTAAACTAGAGCTGGCCAAGATTGAACGTGAGCAGCAAAAGAGAAGCAGCTGCCATACGAAGGGAAGAACAAGAACGCGAAGCTGCTTTGAGGAGAGAAGAACACGAACGTGGACTCGCCCTCCACGAACGTGAGGTCTCCTTGCTCCATGAACGTGAGAGAGTACAGCTTGAAACAAAACAACGCGAGTTGGAAATACAACGCGAACATGACAAGCAACAAGCGACTCTGGCTTTAGAGTGTCGTCAACGCGAAATCGCCTTGGAAACTTCACACTTCACTCAACGCCAGCAAGCTACTGCCAATCTTCCCGTCAGTTTTAATATATCACATGCAAGTAAGTTAATGCCATCCTTTGTAGAAGCAGAAGTTGATGTGTTTTTCACCACCTTTGAAACCCTTGCTAATCAACTCAGTTGGCCTGTCGACCAATGGGCCACACTTCTCAGAGTCCATCTTGCAGGTAGAGCTGCAGTCACACTCAGTACTTTGGCGTCTGAGAATGACTACTACACTCTGAAACAAGCAGTGTTGGACGCCTACCT